TACATGGTGGTAATTACACACATTCATATGTGTATATATATATATGCATATACATATATATATATATATACATACATACATATACATATATATATATATACACATACACATACATATATATATATATACATATCGAGTTATAATATAGCCTATTGTTGGCATTGATATGTCAAATTTGTTGGCCAAAAGCCTGCCACCTGGTACTTTTTATTCGGTCTTAATTCGCTCGGGCGCAGGCTGAGACATCTGCATTGCTCTCGCAGTGTTTGCGTTGTGAAGGTGGTGGTCGACAGCTCCATGTGTCACTTGCTTTGCAGATCGATCTTTGGTATCCTGGTCTTTCTCAATGAAGTATTTTGCATTATTAAGTAACGTGCTCAAATGAAAGAACCGCTAAAATTACCAGGATCTTAATTGGAGCCTACTTGTATCATGTTGGGGGTTGCTATCCACATATTCTGGTCGCTTTGTGACGACAACCGCCCGCACCGGAGTGTTAGCTCCAGAGTTCCAATAAAACCAAATATGTTCTATGTTGGGCCTTTGTAGGGCTCATCTTGGAAATACGTTGGCCGTGTTGGCTCTATGGGCCCATGCTGGGCCATGTTGGGCATACCTTGGGCCCATGTTCTGTGTTGAGGCATCATTGCGCCCATGTTGAGCGCCCTTGTTGGGCCTATGTCGGGCCTATGTTGAAGCATGTGAAGAGATTTTGGGCCTATGTTGGGCCCATGTTGGGCCTATGTTGGGCCATATTGAGCCCAAGTTTGGCGACTTAGCCGATTCTGGGTCCCTTTACAAAAACCATGGAAAACACAGCATTCTCAATATGGTTATTGCACCACCAACCAGTTTGTCCACTTAATTGCTTCCTGATCACGCGTGCACACACAAAAGGCCTTGGCACCTTGAGTACGGGCGGATTTTAAACGAACGTGACAGAACGAGGTTAGTTCATTTCATATATGGTTTGCTATCTAATCTAATCTAGTCAAGTCTAATCGAATCTAATCGAATCTAATCGAATCTAATCTAATCTAATCTACCTATCTATGTACCTATCTATCTATCTATCCATCTATCTATCTATCTGTCTATCTATCTATCTATGTATCTATCTATCTATGTATCTATCTATGTATCTATCTATCTATCTATCTGTCTATCTATCTATCTATCTATCTATGTATCTATCTATCTATCTATCTTTCTATCTATCTTTCTATCTATCTATCTATCTATCTCTGTATCTCTCTCTCTCTCTATCCCTCTCTAATCTAGTCTAATCTTTATAATCTAACCAAAATCTAAATCTAAATCTAAATCTAAATTAATCTAGTCTAATCTTATCTAATCTTATCTAATCTTAACTATCTATCTATCTATCTACCTATCTATCTATCTCTAATTTAGTCTAATCTAAACCTAAATCTAAATCTAATTCTAAATCTAATCTAATCAATTCTAATCCAATCCAATCTAATCTAATCTAATCTAACCAAATCTTATCTATCTATCTATCTATCTATCTTTTGATCTATCTATCTATCTGTCTATCAATCTGTCTATCTATCTGTCTATCTATCTATCTATCAATCTATCTGTCTATCAATCTATCTATCTATCCAGCAATCTATTCTATTCTATTCTAATTCTATTGTATTCTAATTCTATTCAATTTCTATTCTAACTCTATCCTATGCTATTTCTTTTCTATTTCTATTATTATTCTATTCTTATTCTTTTTTTTTATTGTAGTCTATTGTAATCTATTCTATTCTAATCTATTCTTACCTTTTCTAATCTATTCTATTCTATTTAATCTACTCTAACCTGTTCTAATCGATTCTAACCATTTCTAATGTATTCAAATCTATTCTTATTTATCTATCGATCCATTCATCCATCCATCTACCTGTATATACCAGTGCGATCCAAGGAGCTGCAGAAACAGCGACTGTGATGCCCCCAGGGTCCCATGGGGTGATCGCAAAACACCAAGGAATTGCTGTGGAAAAAAAATGTGAGGATGACCCAATCCATGCAGTGAGTCATTGGGGATGGTTTATCGCATTGGGTTTATCACATTATGAGGGATTTCAACAGACATTGGCCTCAAAGATTTCAAAACAGGTTGGAAATTCATTATGAATGATCTGACATGGTCTCGATCCTGATGTTTTAAAGATCCAGTTTCACTTCATGTGGACACTTGAGTCATTATTTCAATAGTCCTTGCTTGTTTCACAACACCCTATGAGGGGGACTACGTTGATGAAACAACACAGATCATTTGGCCACTAGCTCTTGTGGGTATGCCTGTTTGGATTGCCTTCATAGTGTGTCATAGTCAGTACATGGGTTGGATCATTTTGGGCCATTCCTGTTGAAGTCATTCCCCTGCGGTGAGATTTCCTTCGGGGCTCGCGAGCTGCAGGTCCCATCTTCTTCCGGCGTCAACAAGCTTGGCGGGAGCTGCACGATGCCAAGGTGCGACAAGCGGCGAGAAGGGTTCTCCAACCTATTGGTACATGATCACAAGGGGTGGAAATGGGTGATTTTGGCTCAGTATTATTCATACTAATTCATTTTTTATATTTTTTATTGCAAATTTACGGCCAAACGTACCTGGGGTGTTTTGGGAGCAACCCTAAAACCAACCATGAAGGTTTGCAATCAAACATGAAGACGGTGCGACCAACAGCACTGGGGATCTAAGCGAGGAATGGCTAGAACTACGTAACCTTGGGCCTTTCATGAGCCGGAGAGAACCATTCCAGCTGTTCAAGCAGGTTTCGGTGGACGGAGGAACGGTCAGGATAGGTCTGAGGTATTCTTGCGTGACACGGAATCCATGTTGCTAGAGTCACATCATCTGATGCATTAGTTACATCAGTACATTCCAACGTCCTAGTGTCATGTTTCCAAACATTCTATATACATGTTTCGAAGAATAACACGCTCCATCCAGGTCATTTTGAGTGGACTCCCCATAGATGGCGGGACTCGGGCCAGGAGTCCTTGTGCAAAATGCCTGGCCTTCAGCTGGAGTGGTGAGGCCTCACCACACCTGGAAGATCCTGGAAGATCCTGGAAGTCGAACGACCATGGCTTTGCTCTATGTCACTACGGCGCTGAGCTAACTTGTGACCATGAAGGGCGTAGCAATGTACATGTACCTTGAAATACCTTGAGCCACACTCCAGAGTTCCAAAAAACTTGTGACCCAATCTGCAGGCCATTAGGATCCATTAGGTTCAAAGGATTGGTTTCCAAGAAGAGGTTGAAGGGACAATCTACATCAAGTTACAGGGGAAAAAGCAACAACTTGTTGGTAAATTTTGATGTGTTCCCGGTGTTCCCTAGGTTTCTGCGGAAACTCACCCCAGTGAACTGTGTCGCACTCGTTCAGAATGTGGTTCAACAGACTTAGAGTCGATCGTGATCGACGATGGTGCTGTGTGTGAAAAACGCACGACCAACTGCCAATGCTGGCCATTGCCTCGTAGAAAAAGGATCAGTGGAGAAAGGAACGGACGTCCAGGGCACTGTTTATGTTAAAAACAGGTGCGAAAAGGTGCTCTGCAGGATAGCAGCATAGCAGCATAGCAGCATCATTGATTCTATGTTTTGTTAGGTGTTACTAGAAAGACCTAGGTCTTAGGTGGATTCCAACAGTCAACAATGTCACATCGTCCCGTCAGCACTGAACTTGGACAAGCAAATCCGCTAGACAAGATGGCAAGATGGTATGATCGATGATGCGCTCCTTAAACGCTTCTATCAACTTCTATCTCCATTCTATCTGCATTGAGACTAAAAACTATAGTCAATCACGTCATATCACATCATTGCTCTGACTTTGCCCTTCTTTACGCATTCTCCGAAACCACCAGATTTGAACGGTTTATGGATCCTGTGGGTTTCCTGTCTGACTGGTTCGTGGTTTCAAATGTTTTCCATATTTAATGGGTATCATGAGATTCGGCCTCACCCTTGAACATCCCCTCCACATGCAATTGATTTAGGATAATAGTCCCCAGTGGCTCATTTTTTCAGGGTGGTTTACCTGGTTTACCTTTGGTAATCTAACATAGCCAGAAATTATAGCAATGTTTCGTAGATAAACCATCTACGAAAGCTTAATTTTCCGTGACAATGTTAAATTACCAGAAGGTGATATGAATCACAGAATTGGATGGGAACATTAGAGGAACCCCACAAAAACTTACAGGTAAGAAATCCTGGTGTACTGTAGATTTGAAGCAATCCGTTCATGTTTCCGACGCAGCAGATTTAGAACACCTGATCTCAGATTTGGATCGGAATCTGCAGGAAACCCCGAACAAATCGGAATGGTAAAGAACCATGGTTTCCGATTTCCGATTTTCTCTATTTGGAAAGACTTATCTCATTGGATTTGCCACACTATTCCAATTGTATCCAATGATTCATGATCGATTAATTATCGATCCATTATTGTTGGTTATACCTACTATTATTAACCACTAATAGTAATAATCAACAGCCATTATCATCCATTATTTAACATTATTTATCCATGATTCATCCATTATTAAGCACTATAGGATCATTAGTGATTATGCTAGTGGTTAATAATGGGTGGTTATGAATCACTATAATTCCATCATATTCCATCCAGTAATGGGTAATTAGTAACTACTGATCAATGATAATCAACCATAATATTTTACCACTAGTTCGTAGTTTTGCCACTAACTCCGTAATGATATATATATATTTAACGAGTTAGTGGTTACGATAGATGTTACTAGTACCTATCTTTTAATAGAGTATAGAATATTAATGAATATTAAAAGATAGGTACTAATACTAATGGTACTATTAATATTCATGAATATTCAGCAAAATACTAATGGTACTAATAATATTTCATTAATATTATAGATTCTAACCATTTCTAGCCATGTTTCCATTACGGGTTACTATTAACCCATCTTTTTGATCTGGCTCCCAGCGGGGTTGGCCATGCGAAGTGATGGCCGACCTGGCTGATGCTCAGCGAGTGGACAAGGAGGCGCCATCTGCAACAAAAACCAGGATTTTACCAGGATGAAACCAACCTAATAATGTTAAATAATGGATGATAATGGTTGTTGAATATTAATATTATTACTATTAGTGGTTAATAATAGTGAGTATAACCAACAATAGTGGATCAACAATGAATAAATATGGGCAAATTATAGCGACCTCACTGCGACCTCACTGGAATCATGGCTTTTATAGGGGAAGCATCCCAAAATGGCCTTATTTCAGGTTAGTGAATTATTATAATCTGCCCAGAGGTTTTAGCAGCTAAAACAAGGTCACGCCGCCATTAGCGGCGCTGGACTTTTTGGCAGCTGGCTTGCAGCAACCTCTGTCTCAGTGAAACAGAGCTGGCATGGCTGCCCACACATCTCCTTTACAGTTGCGGCGCCACATCCAGCTGTAAATCCAATCCCACAACGCAGGATTCACCTTTTTGCTGGTTGCATCCTTTGCTGTGATCTCGGAAGGAACATACTTTTTCAAATCCTGCCATGCTCTGTCCAAGGTTTGAGTGCCAGCGATTCAAACCCACGTAGCAGCAACGTAGCATCCACGTGGTGTGCAAGTGCAAATGAACGTTAACATCCCACCCCACCCCAACCCATGCCCCACGTAGCAGCAACGTAGCATCCACGTGGTGTGCAAGTGCAAATGAACGTTAACATCCCACCCCACCCCAACCCATGCCCCACGTAGCAGCAACGTAGCATCCACGTGGTGTGCAAGTGCAAATGAACGTTAACATCCCACCCCACCCCAACCCATGCCCCACGTAGCAGCAACGTAGCATCCACGTGGTGTGCAAGTGCAAATGAACGTTAACATCCCACCCCACCCCAACCCATGCCCCACGTAGCAGCAACGTAGCATCCACGTGGTGTGCAAGTGCAAATGAACGTTAACATCCCACCCCACCCCCCATCCCACCCATGGCCGTATATGCTGAAAAGTAGTAAACTCCTCTGATATGCTAAAAAGTAGTAAATTCGTCAGCGCCGCTAACGGCGGCGTGAGCTAAAACAAGGATTGTTACCAGCAAAAGCAACGATTTGGCCAGCAAAAACCTTTCAGATTAAAACAAGCACGGGAACATGACAAAATTGAAAAAGGAACACGTCCAGAAAATGGGTGCTTAGAATATAAAGATCAAAGAAAAATAAAGAGATTTGGGCCCACCAAGACTGGGGGGGAGGTGCAGGGGTTGGTACATCAAAGATAGAAAATCCTTAATTACTTTTCATGGGAAAACAGAGGAACGATGTCAGATGATACTACCAGAGGGTAATCACTTGGTGAATTGTGGCATAGACAATGTTTTTTTTCCCATACATAGGTGAATATCACATTGAAATTGTGTTTTTCCGTGTATCTTAGATTTACCATGAAAGTGTATATTCAAATGGTACTGGTACTCATGTAACGACCCCATCACACAATAAAGATATGTTTCTTTTTTTAGGTCTACAAAACTCAAATGGTATAATGATGTAGGGTTTTGTTGTTTACCAAATGATTTTCACATTCAGCTTTAATTCAAGCGAGCTTCCGGCAAACCCCAGTGTTATGGGTAGTGAATTTACCCCAACATATCTTGTTGCTCGTTCTTGGGTTCAGCTAGATTCAGCCCATACCCACATGCCCGTAGGTATGACATAATCCCAAGGCAGATGGCAACCAAACTTTTAATATTTGTTTTTTCGCCTAAGATTGGGCACCCCAAAAATGGATTAGCGGCTTGGGGGTCTCGTCTGCCAGGCTTTAGGTTGTCATCCCATGTTGCTTATTTTCAGCATCGACCATCTATATTTATTGGGCACCCCTGAAGCTCCGCGAATTGGATGAGGGAAATTTTGCAGGAAAGGTCCTACATCTGTCTATATGTACACACACAAATGAAACAAATACACACAAACACACACATGTACGTAAAGATGTATGCAAATATATATATATATATGTGTAATATACATACATATACTCGTCTCATACACATTGCCCAAAAAGGTGTCCCGCAAGATTTTCCTAAAACCAAGGGACAAGAGCATTCCCTGCTCCGCTGCAAGGAGCTGCTAGAAGCTCTCTCCAAAAAGGTGCATCTCCGGCCGCAAAAATGGGGACGTGGTTTGTTCAGCGACCTGGGTTGGAAGGTTCCAGAATTGGATGCAACATGATGCAACGCTGTTGAAGAACTTGGATCAGAAATCCGTGTTTTTTTTCCCCTTAAACCAAGCTTAAAGGGAGCCGGGAGGCCAGGGGAGGCTTGGAAATCATCGCCTTGTGGGATCTGCCATGATCTGCCTTGAAAATTCGTGTAGAAACCCATGCTCCATGGCACAAGTATGGAAGTTTTATGAAGTTTTCCCCTTTATCCCTTCTATGACTTGGTTACTTTATGTTACTTTAGTCTGTTTAGAAGTTTGAAGTCCTTGCACCAAGCCAGGAGGGAGAGTACGGCGAGTACGAAGTTTCACCCGAAGAATTTGCAGCAGTTGCGCCAGAGGAGACATGTGGGGTCAATCCCCAGGCTCTAGTGAAATGGGTATTTCAGAAAGTTGGGGGCCACGAAAATTGAGTGGTTTGTCACTGAGAACAATCACGAAAAAATTGCGCGAATGTGGGGATCCCGAAGTTTGAGACATAATCCCCTCCCCTTTTTGAAAACAGCCCACAAATGGTCCCACATATTGGTGTCATAAGCCAAGGAGGATGGCAAAGATCCGCACGAGGAGACCTGGATGGCCACAGTTTTGCCATAAATATGGGTCTGAAACTAGGGGATACCCTCAGAAAATGGTCATTTTCATAGAACATAGAACATATGATGATGAATGATTCGAATGATTGGTTTCGGGTACCAACTTTTCAGACAACATGTGAACCAACTATATGTATTAAGGTTCAATTTGTGCAGGGTATCCAATTTTGTAATTAGCCATGGGGTGGATATGCATCCCAGGGACTTGCTAAGTAAGGGGATGCCGGGATTGCACATCCCTGAAAGTGAACTCGATGATTGACCATTTCTGGCTTGGGATGAAGCTCCAAGTAGTCCAACAAAAATCAAGGGCCCAGGAACAAGAATTTATGGCCGTTAGTCATATCTACGATCGAGTTTTTGGGTACTGCATCCAATTATCACCTACACTCAGATGTGGTACTCATGACAGTTTTTTCCACGGTTTGCAATCAACCAAAATCGTCAGCGGTCCGCACCGTGCCGAGGGTGGACCTTCGCAGCATGTCAAGCAGGTCGTGCTCTGGGGGGTTCAGGTGGTGGGTGTTGGCTTGGCTTCACCGCGAAGGTGGCGGAGCCAAGCCACAATTATTGTGTGGTAAACCCAGTAACCCCAATGATGAATTGTTTGGTATGGTTTGGACTACGATGGAGTAACATTTGGCCAATTGGGGATTGTGAATTGGGCTTAGTACAGTACAAATTCCAGCATTTTTTCCGCTTATTGGTTGACACAATTGTTGGAGCCTTGTTGTTTCGGAGGTCCCCAAAATTGGAACGTTGGCAATGGGAACCGTCTCAGCAATGAGCTGCTGAAAGGCCAAATCTCTGATCTTTTTTAAGGGCCAATAGCAGATGGAAATGATGGAAATGGTGCAATATTCTAAATTCACTCCAACTTCCTTTAATTCCAGGTACACCTACAACTTTTTTGTGACTCCAGAATTCTCAGCCCTGAACTGATGGGTCCCCAGTGGACCCACCAGAAGGTTGCAAAGAGTGCTGCTCATGAGCTGCACGCAGACGAGGCCGTGTGATTTTGCAGGCAACTCATGTCGACCCCGTTAAGTAGGAGGGCAGTGCCAACAAATTTTTGTGATGTCGTTCGCTATTCTATAGTAAGGTACCCCACCGATCCAACCGCGGATTTATTCATCCATTGACATAAATGTGATAAACCCAATGATAATTAATTATATCACACATTCCTGGTAGCAGTTGGAGATTGTTTGCGATTCGGTTTCCCACATTCGGTAAATATGGATTTGCCGCGAAATAGGGTGCCGGCAAATTTTGATGGTTTTGTGGATGGGCACCACTCTGAAGAATTGATTCCCAGGGGCACCAAAAGAGAACCAGCAGGGATACACAACAATGCAGGCTAACAACATGGGAAAAGGCGATCTTTTGTTGCTGAATGAACATGGATGTCTTGAGTGATAAAACATGCAGCTGCATGTAGCATAGAAGTTGCACTTCTCGATTTGTTGCGCTTCTCGATTTGTGCGCACCTGGCGTTGAATCAATCGTCACGCAGACACTGCCCTCTTCACAGGTTTATCATCATTTCCACCATCAAAATTGGCATGTCGGGGATATACCCTGTTTTCAAACACAGCCAATAAGATGCAGACTGTAGACCCTTGCCATCGCGACCAGTTGCGACGTGCCAAGAGGGCCATCAAGAAGGAGCGACGCGGCACGGTCGGTCGTAGTGAAGGGCGGGGCTGTTGTGGCTGTTATGTATTTTGTGTCAGGACCAGGTTGCCAGTACAGGGCCAAGGTTTTGATCCCTAGCTATTCTTTCAACCCTGAGACTGAACTGGGAGGTTGAGGCATCCACGCCTTTTAAGGCAACCATTCCACTCGCTGGGTTTAAATCGCAAGGATCGTCAAGCGCAGCAAGAGGAGGAAGTCCTGCTACAGGCTGGGAGGAAGTCGTTGTTTCCTTTTCTGCATCCAAGGGTCAACTGCAACAGATATGGGTTCAGTCAGTCAACAAAGATTGGGGTGGTTTACCCCCAAAACTTTTTCGATGGGGAACCATATTTTTGAAACCATGGAATCTATGTGCCCAATTTTTGGACAAACCCATGTGCTGAAATATGTTGAATCACCATGAAGTTTGCTTCCAGCGCCAGGCTTTGAAAGACGAGCAGATGCGTCGGGAGCGGGGCTGCAGATGCCACGGGAAAGGAACAAAATCAAATTGATGATCCTTTCACCTGTGACATGGCTGACCGCAGGTATCAAGCAGTTACAAAACCTGTAGTTCAAACAAAATCTAAGACGAAAATCCAAGACAAACAACCGTAATCCATTTTACAGGCGGAGTCCTGTATAAGAATCCGAAAGTTCGCAGTTCAGGGCCCTTCAAATTATTAATTTCAATTGCCGAGAATTTGGGGGTCAACGAAGGTGAGGGACGCTCAATTTCTTACTGTTTTCTTAACCATTCTCCTAATCTTATATTGCACTTGCGGGGGAACTTGGGAATGCTTAGGAAACAATTCCTAGAGGCTCAAGCGGATAAGGCTGTGGATGGGAGATGAAATTGGGGATCGATTCCCCAGAGTCGCCCTCAGAGGCGAGAAGCTGCTGAAGCGCCGACGTACGCAGTTGCACCCTATAAAGTAGCATAGCAATCTAAGAATTCCATCGCTCCACGTGAAGGTCCCTGAATTTCTCTCAAATTCTGAGGGTAGTGAGAATCAGATTCAGCACCAAAAGTATAGTTTGGATTATATAGCCAAATCCCAAATTCTTATACTTATACATACTTATACAATAGTTTCTTACACAGTACTTGCGCTGTAATAAACTAGACGACGGATGGCCCGAGACCGCAGAAGAGAATACGTATTCAGGTGAATGTTAGACTCATATGATGAATGTTTTGAATTTAGGATAATTTAAGTTTTTATTAAGAAGGAGATTCTCAGAACGATAAACCGACATCCTACTCAAAATGGCGGCATTACAGTATACACCTGCATTCATACACATATGAACACATAAACAGACCTGGCTTCACATTCGCTGTTATACACACCTCAGGCACACACACACATACACATACACATAAACACACACACACATAGGTTGCTTTTATACATATACTTCAAACAAACACGGACACGCACACACACACAACCACTCACACACACATATACATATATATATAATCATACATATACACAGATAGATGAACATAGACACGCACACAGACACACACAAAGGCACACCAACACAGAGCAGCCTCTACTCAGAGACTCTTTGACACAGACCAGCTTTTACAGAGGAGCTTTTACACGAGAGTCTGAGAGACTCTTTCGACTTTCAAGCAGAGCAACTTTGATACGAGAGACCCTTTTACACGGAACAGCTTTTACACGGAGACCCGTTTACACGGAACAGCTTTTACACATAGATTTTATACAGAGCAATTTTTACACATTTTTTTGGTGCCCACAGGAGGAGGACGCTCGGTACCACCAGCTGCAAGGACGAAAAAGACTGAAGGAGGCAGCCAATTGTGATCTGTCCACCCCAAAATCATAATCTAATGATATCTAATGCTCAATCATCATATGTCCATCAAAATTGCATAATTCATGGATTTACATGGATTTGCATTTATCCCATCACATTCTCATTAAAGATGCATAATTCAGGCAATTCAATGAGGTCACTCCATGTAAATTCAGCCAGTTCTGGACCAACCCATGGATTTTGCGATGGGTCAGGCGCAAGATAAGCAGACGGCTCGGAAAGAGCAGATGGAGGAAGTGCGGGAGGTGCATGATTTAAGCAGTGAAAACGGTGCTTTCATGGGGAGATTAATGCGGAAGATCATGGGAAACATAACCAACTACAACCATCTATATCCAATTTGGGTGGGTCTTAAAATAAGGTATAGCGGTATAGCCGCCACATGGTCATTTTCATAGGGAAACTTGAGGATCAGTGGATTTAGCGTTAGTCATGCGTTAGCCTTTTCCCAGGCAAATCCATATCAGCGCCGGATTCATAAAGCTACAATTTGCTGGGGGCTCCCAAAATAATGATCATTTCGGCTATACATAGTGCCCACATTTGCTGAAACATTTTTTTAAAAATCTTGGGCTGTGCAGGCTCGAAATGAAGGTCGGCTAACGCTGTTCTACTATCATTTTCTAGCTGGTTGGTGGTTTGGAACATTTTTTATGTTCCCATATATTGGGAATAATCATCCCAACTGACGAACTCATATTTTTCAGAGGGGTTGAAACCACCAACCAGCTAGATTTTCAACATTTTCACTGATGGGTCCTGTGATTCCAGACTGACAAACATGTTCATCTTGTAAACAGAACTGGCCGATTGGAAGCACAGGTGAAACCAAGCTAGGAATGAGCCAGGGCGTTGCAAACAAAATGTCCTTACAGAACCGACAGAGAGAAGCCAAAGAATGGTGCAGGCAACCAGCAAAATGGGGATCCAACAAAACCGGGGATATGCCACAAATTTTATTGCGATACAATGCGATATCATCATCCGGCTACCATTCAGAAGTGAGTTTAGAACCGTAAGACATGATGCAAGACTTGGAGAATCAGATCCCAAGGCTTAAAACTATATCCCAAACACCAACAACCCAACAATTTGGACGGGACAGGCGCGCTTTGACTACGACGTCAAGCGGGTCATGCAGCTTAAGGACTTTTTCAGATCTCCGGGAGGGTGGTGCTAAAAACAATTGGGTGCCTAGCCATTTGTATGAACCATGGTTAGAATCTCCATGGAACAATAGCGATGTACGGAATTTGGGTTCCTACAAGTATATAAGTGGATTACATTTATACTAGCCATGTTTGTAGGAACCCCAAACCCCAACACTTGTAACGTGTAGCAATTGCAGAGATCCCGGTGAGAATATGAGAGAATGGATGATTGAATTTCCTTGGGCCAAGTACCTCATTATCGCAAGGAACCCTTCTGAAAGTGTTCAGGGTTTGTTCAGGGTTTGTGTCATACCGAGTCATATCTATCATCATGAAGCAACGTCAATGACATGGGAGGTGAGATACCAATCCTAAATTACATCAGTCAAGCGATCTACAGGTTGACGCGTCAAATCCTCATGGATGATTGCAACAAACAGCTTTGCACAATCAGGACTCGAGAGATGCGTGGCAACCCAGCACAGTGATAGGCAATGTAGATAGTGTTTAGGCCCGGATTGTGGAGCCAGCTGTGGCCATTTTTTCCCTGTCCTCACAGCAATAGCTGTTTGGCGTTTCAGGAGGTTCAATTTGTTTCTCCAGTCGGGTGTTTAGGCCCTCTCTCCATCGACTGCGGGCCCGGTCAAACCGTATCACTTTGTATCCACCTGTCATTTGTCAGGATGGATCAACACCTATTCTCCTATGGTAATTTCACACAAATGGAAAAACCCCGAAATACAGTAATTCGAGGATTTTCCCAGCTATACATAAACCTCTATGTTTGCGGGATTTCCCAGCTATAAACTATATAAGGCCATATAGAATCTAGATTTTTGAGAAGTTTTTACCGGTCGTTTTTGGTCGTGTGTCCAGCAGCTCTGATTTCATCGAGGCCATCCTGTTGAAGATCAAGTCGCAGAATGAGCGACGTGAGAAGAAACAACAGAAGGTCAAGGCAGCACAGTGGCCTTGAAACCAACCAGATCATGTTAAGATGTGATGGGGATATATGTGGATATATGTGGATATATGTGGGTATATGTGGATATAGGATATAGTGGTTAATAATGGATGAATCATGGATAAATCATGCTAAATCATGGATGATAATGGTTGTTGATTATTACTATTAGTGGTTAATAATAGTGGGTATAGCCAACAATAATTGATAAATAATGAATGAATCTGGGGAAATTATAACGACCTCACTGCGACCGAACCCTGGAATCATGCTTAATAAGGGGAATCATCCCAAAATAGCCGAACATTTCAGGTTAGTGAATTATTATAATTTGCCTAGAAACAATGTGATGGGGATATATGGGGATATACGGGGATATAAATATTTTAACCTGTTTAAACCAACCTTGCAACCGACCATAAAACGGCCTTCTATGGGTCAACTATTTTAACCAACAAATAGGAAGTAACCAACAAATCCGGTCTTTCATAGGGATAACATGGGATGATGGTTGGTGGTCAACCTATTTGTTCATTTTTCAACCACATTGAAGATGATATTCCCCAATGACATTTTTCTTAAAGGGGTTGAAACCATAAACCACATTATATATATATATATTATAGTGATATATCATATATCATTCTATATATATATTGACATCCTACAGTCATATAGTACACTTAATACTATATATATATACATTGACTCATCGCATTGAATGGCGATAATTAATAGAAGTGACAAACCTTTGCGCGAAGGGGCTGCAACATCCTCAGGCTGAAAGAGAGAAGGAAAAACAATCCCTACTGAGGGACGGCAAGAACCCCTATGAGGCATGGCAGGAACAGCACTGATGGCGCAAGAACATCGCGGGGGACGGGTTAAGGCTTGTCGGATTTTGAACATCATTGGAGATGATTCCCTGAACTGGGTGATGTTCAAGTGGAGCATTTCAGACTGCAGGTCAAGGGATTCCGCTACCCTCTGGAAATCGAAACTGGCAATAGAGAATCCCCATTTAAAAGATAAGAAACACTTTGGATTTATCCGACAATGCTGTGTCTGAAAATGGGATATGCCCCCAAAAACGTGACTTCAATGGAGAACATATGGGAACATGATGGGATAATGCATATTTAAACTCACATTTTATTGGGGATTTCCCATTGCGGCCCTTCCATCCTCTCCGCCCAGATTTGGAGAAGAGAAGAGATGGAGGCCAGTGGGGGTTATTGCTCTTGAACCATCCCCTTAATTGTGTGGTTACACCGCATTTATATATATATGTTGGTTGTTGACTTTAAACATTTTACTGTTGAGGTAACATCCCAATTCTTGTACCCAACCTCCTGAGTCTTGTGATTTTATCTGGAGAATTGATAGATATAGAGAGTGGAGAGTGGTTCATTAATATTTCAGTGAACTCAGGAGATCCAGAATTTCCAGACATTTCTATGGCAATTAAATGACACTGTTAATTAATGTTAATGAATGATCTTTATGATTATCCCGATTCTGAGTATCCCCTGGTGCTTCCAGATTCCATCCGTGCTAAAAGGCGTCGGCGTCACGTCGGCGCGGCCCAGCAGCCTAGGCACGAAAGGAAGAACAGCGGCTGCGCCTCCAAGCACAAAAAGAGCTTCGCTCGGAACAGCTGCCGCTTGGCAGCAACGGGTGATCGTATAATAAATGTATATGCGAGTCGATCTACTGTAAGGGTCCCATGATGGTCCATGTAGGGATTCTCCATTACGAAGGCTGCCGGTGTTACAACATGAGACCCTGCGAAAGTTTTTTTTGAGTTCGCGAAAGTAAATTCTGTTTGGCGAAAGATTTAGCGAAAGTTTATTTTCATGAAGTGGTTTATTCATGTTGATAATATATATATATATATACTGTATATATATATATATATACACAGTATATATATTCTGTGTATATATATATACACACTGTGTGTATATATCATCATTCATTCATTCACGCCACTCTGAAGCGTCCAATCTTCATGGGCGAGCGGGGGGCTCTTGCCCCGAAGCTGATCACTACAGCTGTTGCTGCAGTCTCGCGCCACAAAAGGGCTTACACGAGCACGGCCCCAAAAACGCCAAAGCACACGACCAGTCCGCAGGGAACTTACACAGCCGTGACTCTGCGTACGGAGGCCTGCTGACTTCCAAGCGAAAGCTGGCAGCAGCTGTACAAGCCAAGCGTTTACTCTCTCAGAAGAAGCCTTTTCACATGTGCCATCTCACATTTCACTCAAGGCATCTAGCATGGATTGAATTTCTCTTTCATTCCCTGATCGTGGAGCAACTCCTCTTTTCAGAACTGCACCTTGTCCTTGCAAAGCTTTTGTCACAACGGTGAGGATATTTTCAACGGAATGGTGAACACAAGGTAAGACGCATTTTCTTGGCATCAAAGCACTTGCGGCACTTGGCGACCAGAATGCTGGGCTCAAGAGTTTTCACCGACTCTGCATTCTGGAGATGGATGGACAATAGCTCCTTCTCCTCAGCAGTGATATGGTTCGACTCGATGAGGGAATGCACTAACGCAGCCCATGCATGAACATGTGGTTCACCAAGGCTATCACATTCACGATTTTTTCCATCCTTCCGGAACTCGGTGGCTTTAGTGTTGTGAGCCTGTGTTGCAGCTGACATAGCACCAACCACCGTGGTGTCTTTTGGGATCAACAGGGTGGTGAGGATTGCGCTCTGCAGTTCACGGATGTCAGAGCAATTTTTGAGAACTGACTTGGCTAAGAGGACTGTCAGCTTCCTCTGGTTCTCGGCATGGATTTCATGGGCTGGGGGATCAACACGTTGTCTGCGAAACGGTGGGCCATCCCCGTCGCCAACACCAAGTAGCCACGACGGAGCAGACATGGCAGTTGACTCCTTATTGATTTTGCCGAGCAAAAAAGGCTGCAGGAGTGTCGTGAGCAGCAATATGCTGCAACAAATCGTCCGTCGAATGTCTTTCCTCTTGACAGACTGGACACTGCAAAGTCTTGGGAGGCAAAATGCCAGGGTTGAACGCAGAGCCTTTGCCCGTACACTGTCCACGCTCAAAGGAAGCTTTGATGTGATGACTGGCCGATACTCTTGTTGAATACTTACAACGACACCAAGGGCATATATTTGACACAGCAGCCAAAGAATAGATGGGACGACGTCCATGGTCGCCACCTCTAGAATGCAAGATGTGGGCAGACAGCTGCACTTGGGTGGCAAATTTCTGGTTACACATTGATCCGTCTGCACACAGCAGATTACATACATAAGGAGTATCATCAGGAACCAAGAAAACCTCTTGTGGATCCATAGTTGGGGGTACCCATTCAGGAGGTGGAATTTCATGCCCCAAAAATTTGGCGCGAAATTCAGTGACATCAATTCGCAGAAAATCTTCACGAAATGTTGAGAAAATGAGTAAAACTCGACCCTGCACTTGAGAAGCGAGAAAAGTCCCAGAGTCCAATTCACCCAGTGCATCAATGTCAGTGGCAAACTGCCGAAGCCAAGGATTAGCTGTAGCTGTCGGCTTTCCACTGCCGTCAATTGAACAATGTTGTTCGAAATCAAACTGACCAAATAAGCAAGCAAACAATAAAGAATATTTTTCAGGAAATTTTGCCGCGTTCTGCCAAAATTTGAGTCGGCGGATGCGTAACTCGATCCGGGCAGGGACCATATACAAAAACCGCCAAATTTCCAATGACGGGAGAGCCTTGTATTTTGTACCTGCCTCAGAGGAGAACTTGTGGCACGCGGCACCATGCATGAGTTTTCGACCTCGTTTGAGTATGTATTTGTCCAAGCGATCAACATGAGTGTGTGACAAACACAACGCTTCCAGTCCAGACATGAGAGTTGAATACACCATTCCTTTAAAAATAAAAACAAGGGCTGTTCTACGTAGTCCTTGCCGAAACCAGAGCTGACCCATTGCATACCATCCAATATCAGCTTTTTGCATTCTGTTGTCGATTTCAGCACTATCATTGTTACGGAAGTGGTGCAAAGAACCCAAGTAACGAGCAGCAACACAGGTTTTACCAGGAAGGACCTCTCCTGCAAAGACTTCACGGGTGTAGCTATCGGAGTGGCAACCCACAAAACAAGGTACATGTTCTTGCTTGTCCAAATTTTGAGCAACACCAACAGTATCCAGTACCGTACAAAGCTCTTTGTTAGCATGTTGCAGTTTGTGCACCAGTTCGTGCACTGTGTCACACACCACAGTTCGCGCCAAATCGTCAGCGTATGTGGAAATAGATGCGTCGACATATTGTTCACAAACAGGATCATATACCAGAAAATCCTGCGGTTCTGTCTGGCCCAGTGTATCCATCCAGTAATCAATTGCGGGGTGATACTGTTCCAAGAATTGTTCTCCGGCATGTCCATCCCCTTGCAAAGATCCTGAACCATTACAAAGATACACCTTTGCATCAGCTGCCTGTATACAGAGTATTGCTGTATTGTTTCGTTGTTTAAGAATGTTAGCATCGCAGCGTCTACATGTACGATCAACAACTTGGTCACAAACACTCCGTACAACACTGGGGAAAGCATTAGTTGCATCATAGAAAGAATCACAATGGCTCTGTCCCACAGCTCGCAGTCGATGTTTGAGAATGCGCCGGTGCATGATAGGGGTGATGCGTGACTTGTGTTGTATGTAGCCAGAAGCCCAGTGTCGATCGCAGGATCGGACGCCCTTTTCCCAAAGACATTTGACATATGTTTTTCCCAGTGGCTCGAATGTATTGATGGTTCTGAGGCCGGCGCAACCAGTTTTTCCATTAGCTTTGTCGATTTGAAAAGTTTGACTGAGATTCCATTCCAAAGGTGTAAAATCATACAGCCGGATTGACAAAAACAAAACGTACAGACATGTGCGAAACAAAGTGTTGTCCAACGTGTCACAATATCCCACACCCAGTCGGCGAGGTGCATAAAAAACATTCGGAAAAGCCAACTGCCGCCAAATTTCAC